ATAATTTACAACATATTATTTCTTTTTTTTTAATTGCATTGATTTCAGTTGTAAGATTTTAATTACTTTTTGAGTAATTAGCTCATTATATAGTTTAAATGATTTCAGGTATGAAGCCTGCTACTTTAGGCTATGCATGCTATGATATTAGCCTAGTTTATTTATGTTTTTAATTTTGTAGTATTTTGTAGCCAGTGTGATTATTATGTATATTATTTTGGACTTTATAAATACGATATAATTTTGGACTATAGAAATGTAAATTATGTTTTTCCGTTGTCTATTAGATTTCTTTCTTTTAAGCAATTAATCAACCCTGAATATTGAGATTGATTTGGTTGAGAAATGAAAATAGTGAACTGCTAAGATAATCAAAAGAGAAGAGAAAAAAATAAAAATTCTTTCACTATAGATCCTAGGGCATGACAGGCTCAAACTTAGCTCGTTAGCTCATCGAATTGACTCACGAGCAATATATCAAGCCAAGCCCGAACCAGCTCATTAGTCGTCTTGACTCACTCACACCTTAAATACACACATAAGACTAATCAAGGCTCAACAAAATACGGCAAGACTTACATTGCAGTCTTAATGCCAAGCAATTATTTGACCATCAGCAAGCCTCTATATAATATGTCACCCAAGTCATTGCCTCACTTGAAGCTAACTTGGTGCGGCCAAATGTTAAAACATGTATGCTACTGGAATGGAGAACTCATCGATCGGATTTTAATTTTTTTCTCCTTTATCGAAATAAAATCTGAATTGATTTGAGTATGAACTATGATATGCCATCAAAAATTTTGCAGAAATCAGCAAGGATGGTGACGTCAATTTTTGACTTCAACATGGTTAAATATTACATTCGATATGAAAAGTTTGGCAAACTGTTCAAAAGGACAAATGGATTTCATTTCTGATGTGTTTATAATCATGATGATCGAACTGAAGAGATGATTCAAACAGACTAAGCAATCTTTAATCTGAATCCAGATTTAACCCATTTTCATTCATTCATGTGCCGCTCTCAAATTTTTTGGGCCATAGCCATCATTTTTATATCATATGAGGGTGTGATTTTGGAGAAATTATTCTGTGTGGTCACTGAACCTTCAAAAGGTAAATCAGAGCCCGTCACATCACGTTTTTGTTGTGTACCAGTATTGTGTACAGGGTGACATGGCTGCGGCCCGTCACACAGCAAAAAAGTGACACGTGACACACTCTGACTTGTCTCCGAATATCGTTCGATGACCACACATAATAATTTTTCGTGATTTTATGTATATGCTTTCCACATATTTTGAATTCTAAAAACAGTTACTAAGAATTCTTGAATTAGACATCTTCCAAAACCTCTAATCATCAATACCAATGTTCTCTGAATTTTTTTTTATATCTGTCGGTCTCCCCGCCAATTATGATTGTCAAAACAATCATAGTCTCCTCGACAACTACTGTCATCATTAAACATTTGATTTGGATTTTATTTGGGACATCTTTTTTACTGTCTTCTGAAGCAGCTTTTTTAAATTTAAGAGTTTTTATACTAAAAAAATGTTTTAAAAAGCAATAAAAAAGTCATCTCAAATAAAGTGTAAGTCTCAGGCTTCATTTGGGATGGCTTGTTTACTGCTTTTTGAAATAGCTTTTTAATACAAATTTTTTTAAAACTAAAAATTTTGTACTAGAAATTTGCTTTAGAAAATAGTAAAGTAGCCGTCCCAAATAAAACCTTAATTACTATTATTATTTTAATTTATTGGTCATTTTTGAACATGCCTTAATTGTCAACATAGATGATGGATTTAGTTTCTAGCTGATATTCTGATATTGTACTTACGTATTTTCTAATTCAAGGAAAGGACAACCCTTTGTATCCAAGATCACAATTATTTAAAATTTTCCAAGTAAAACTTAATTTCCCATTCATACATATTTTCCATATAAGAAATCTGATGTTGCATATTATTAACATTCTACATGACTAATGTTTATATTCATCCAACACCTTGGCATAATTCATCTCTCTATGTTGTCATGATTATCTAACACAACCTTTTGACACTCTAGACATCAGTCAGTTGAGCTGAAATTATGATGACATTCCCCTCAAAGTAAGATATAGATAAGAGTTGTTTGGCCATATCAAGTGCACCGCCTCTCATATAAGAACCAATATCTAATGCATCTACCATGCATGATTGCTCTGGTATTTTTTGCCCCTTACATTAAGAGCTCCACCCATTCCGCAATCACAATTTGTTATCTCTCTTCATCCTCAATAACAAGCATCAAATGAGCAAGTACTCGTGCTATCTCAAACAAAGATGGATATCTAATCCACTATATCGGTGTTGTCATCATCTCCCTGCACGGCTCCTCAACCTTTCCATTTGGAATCAACAAGTGATGGTCATCACAACTTCTATAAACTATTTAAACCATATCATAACTTCCATGCCAAAACACCAATGGGCTTGCTCCTCCCATTGTAGACATCATGTCTGGTCACAACAACACCATATACATGATGTAATCCTATAAGTACTTGCAAACTTTCATCTCTAAGCTCCTCCTCTTTACTCCTTTAGTTTGTTATCCTCGGCTTCACTCTCTATTTGATGAGGATGCAAGAGATGTAGAGACTCTAACTTCCAATTAAAGCAAAGGTCACTAGAGATGTGCCATACTAGAACTTGTTGATCATATGATAACCCCTTTATAAGCTTAACAAATGATGGGACAACCCAAGCAAGGATATGATAGTTATTATTCATTGGAGAGCAGAAAGTCCTGCAAGTTCATTAAATATCTCTAATGATACACGCAAGGATCATTGCACATATGTAGTGATGATCTCCTGAAGCTCTTAGGTTGCCTGCACCGATTGGAGTGTGTGCAAGGTGTAAATTTCAAAGCTAGTAGCCCAACTCATATACAACATTATCTCATGCACTAAGCTTAGTTTTTCTTCAATCCAATCCATTATTCTTCATTGAGGAGTTTTGCTTGGTGCAAAATTCATAAGGCAATTACTAATTAGATTCAATTATAGAATCTCTATTGGCCAATACTTTTTCTTCAACCACACCCTTTTAAATCTAAAAATGTGCTCAACGAGTAACTTGCTTCAATTACGTAGCTTTTTGACATTGAGAAGGGTAACCATCATCCAATATGAGAACAAGAGCATCATTGTAGCCATGGCATCAAGGAATATAGAGGTTGTGAGTAGGACATAAGTGATAAACACGTCAAATCTATCAAAACCATCCTTTGGTGTCAATATATCAAGTGAGAAAGCTAGCCAAATGCAAATTAAGCAAAGAGCTCGGAGAATATACCAAACTCTAGTGTGATTTACAGCGACTTTGGTATAAAGCTCATTATAAACATAACTAAGTTCCAGACCTGTCATTGTCAAAATCTTCTTTGTTATCATCTCCTTAACTAAATTTTCAGTTGACATATACACCTCAACACATGGAATAAAATTAACAAAGTAAGACTTGTTATCAGAGTATCAGAGTATATCCTAAAATCTCTATTAAAGTCATTCAAATCTTTCATGTATGAAATGATTGAAGAAATGTTTGTTGGTAGTTTTCTAGCAGACGAGCCAATGGAGCTATGAAAGCCTTCACTACTAGCTTTATAAAGCGAGTTAAAAGCGCTCTACATATTTGATGATAGCAACTAAGAATATCAAGATGGTGGAAGAGAGAAAACGAGTTTTGGGTAGGGAACAAAAGAGGACATAGAAGGCGACAAAGTGCTTATTGATAAGGCCATGAAGATGGTGAGCCCATAGCTCATTGTATTCCTGTAAATTATTATGTGCGGAGTTCCAGACGAGGCAATCGTTCGGTTTACTACCAATGGCTTCCAATAATAATAATGTTGTAAAGAAAGAAAATTTATATTGTTTGATTAAAATGATAGTCTACACCTAAATATCTTAAGCTAAATAAAAGATAGAATAATACAAACGAAAAAATAAAAAATAAAAAATTTGACTAATAAAAAAAGTATTCACTTTAAAAATTCCCTAAAAGGGTAAATTTCTTTTATGTTTATGTAATTGATAAGCTCCATATAATAACTCTCTTATTCTGCTTATTAAAATATCGCTTGATAAAAACATAAAAAATATTTATTTTTCAGATGAAGGATAGATATTTTATCCTATTACTTGTTATTTTGTGGGATAATAATCATAAGAGTTGGATTTTTAAATATTAAAAAATATTAATATAATAGCATATTTTCTTTAAGAAAAACAAAGTATATATGCCTACTAATTATTAATTAATGTAGTTAAGTTTTCATTTTAAAAATAATAATTTTTTTTGTTAAAAATTTAAAAAATGATTACATTTGAATTTTTCTTTCTCCTAATTTTGTTTTAAATTTTCATCAATGATATCTTGGTGCATAGAGAGAGAGAGAGGGAGAGAGAGAGAGAGAGAGTAAAAGAAATACAAAACTAAATCTTATAGATCTGAAGTTGAGTAAAGCATAATGAGCAACTTTTGGTTAATGCTTCACTGAAGTTATCTATTAGGAACTAAAATTCAGAGAAGAAGACAACACATCATTTAAACATCATCAATTCCTAATAAAATTTTGCATATAATATTAAAATTAGAAACAAGAATTGCTAGATTCTATTACAGAAATTACAAAAAAAAACTTTGGTAAAAGAAAACATAAATGGAATATGTTTAGGGAAGCGCTTATTTTAATTTCTTATGATATTTTTGATAAGGGATGGTTTTCTACTTGTGGATGTTACCACTAATAAGCTTAACTTTAAGATCATCATGATACAACATTTGATTCTCTTAAGATACAATAAAAAAACTTATTTCATTTATTTGTATAATCTATGTAATATCAGGCCAATAGAGATGTTAATGGGTATTAAATATATGAGTTATAGAAAAATAATTATCTTGTGAAAAAGATGCGTTCAAGAAGAGAAATCCACATATAACTCAATGTTGGCTTTGCAACTGATCTTTAATCTTAGACAAGAGCTCCTTGGCCATATCAATCAAATTGTCTATCTTAGAACGTGTAAAATACAAAAACTTAGCTGTCATAGCATGTTTAGTGAGAAGCCAGATAAAAGTTAAGAGCTCACCTCCCCTGCTTAGTTGCTTCACATGGGTGATTGCTTTGGTATTTTTAGCCCCTTGTATTAGAAGATCTGTCCACACCGTGGTGAAAACATGCCATCTTACTTCATCCTTAATTAGAAGCATAAGATGAGCAAGCACTACTGCTAAATCAAATAAAGATTGAGCTTGTATTGACCCTATCGGAGTAGTCAACATCTCCCTACATACCTCCTCAACTTTTGCATTTGGAAGCGATAAGCGATTGTTATCAACAAGTCTACAAATGAATTGAACCATAGCTTCACATGTCAACCTGAATATAAGTGGGCTCTTGCCTCCCATTGTTGACATCATCTCTGGTCGCCTTAGCACCATGTACATCATGTAGTTTGATAAGCACTTGCAAACTTCCATCTTTGAACATCTTAGTTTTTTGTCCTCTGCTTCAATTGTTATTTGATGAGGATACAAGGGATGTAGATGCTCTGACTTCCAGTGGAAGCAAAGCTCAGTGGAGATGTGCCATACTAGAACTTGTTGATCAAATGGCAATTCACTTATATGCTCAAAAAATGACGGATCAACCCAATTAAGGGCAGTAGTAACTTCTTGAATATCTTCTAGGAATATAGGTTTACTAGATTCATTCAAACATATTGGAATCCGTCTATGTGCATATGTAGTTAAAATGTCTTGAAGCTCTTCGGTTGCCTGTATCGGCTGCGATGTGTAGAAGGTGAAACCCTTATAGTCCAAGTAACCACTTAAGTACGACTTTGTCCCCAGCACTGAGCTCAGCTTTTCTTTAATCCAATCCATCATGCTTCGTCGAGGACCTTTATTCAGTGTAGAATTCTTAAGACAATTATTAATTAGATTCAATTGTGGCATCTCTCTCAACCAATACTTTCTCTTCAGGCACACCCTTTTAATTCTAAAAATGTGCTTAGCAAGCAACTTGCTAAATTTACGTAATTTCTTGACATTAAGAAGAGTAACCATCATCCAATCTGAGAACAAGAGCATAATAGTAGCCATAGCATCAAGGAATATAGAGGCCACAAGTAGGACATAAGTGACGGCCACATCAAGTTTATCATAATCATCCTTTGGTGCCAAGACAAAGAGCGAGAAAGCCATCATAATGCAAATTGAGCAAAGCGCTCGGAGGATGTACCCAACTCTAGAGTGATTTACAGCGGCTTTAGTATAAAGATCATCATAAGCATAACTAAGTATCACACCCATCACTTTCAAAGTGTTGTTGCCTAGCGATTCCATGAAATCGTTCCTATATACATCATAAATGATACTGTATGGATAAGAATCTATAAACGAAGGCTTGGAGACTAGGTATATCCCAAAAGATCCATTCAAGACATTCAAATCATCTACGTCTGAAGTGGTAAAAGAAATGCTTATTGATTTTTTTCTAGCAGAGGATGTGATGGAGCTACGAAAACCTTCGGTGCTAGCTTTATAAAGAGAATAAGTGCGCTCAGCATATTTGATGATAGCAACAAAAAATATCAAGATGGTGGGGGCGAGTAAGCGAGTGTTGGGCATGGAGCGAACAAGTACATAGAAGGCGATGATGAGCTCATAAATAAGGCCAACAAGATGGCGAGGCCATAGGGCATTGTCTTCCATGGAGTAGGCAGTGATGGTGTCGGGGCCACCAAGGTGGAGGATGAGGAATGGAGCCCACAAAGCAATAATAGCATTAGAGGAGGAAGAATCATCCATGGCATTGCTTAGTTGGCCGAGCACGAAGTCGGCGACCCAATCAGCGAGTAAGTAGCTGCTCCAGACTAACATTTGTATCCATTTCGAAGTTGAAGTTTTTCTCCAGCGACCGAGGAAGATGAGAATTATTTGAATAGATAGACTAAGTAACATCAGGACACGAATACCCCAATCACTCCATAGTTGCTTGTATTTCACTGGGAAGTCCATCCTTCCTGTTGATAAACTTGTAAGACAATTAAAATATTCAAAATGATGGATGAAGTAATGATAATTTAGATAATAAAATTATTCAAATTATTTTATTAAGGGAATATTTTAATTTGAGAAGTTATTTTGGGTATTTCCATGATTCTTCTTATTTTCTTACCTAATAAAAAATTATCTAAACTATTATAAAATAGAAAGAGTTATCTTACAATCAAATCACATTAGCAAGCATCTATTATGTATGAGTATTTAGTCCTGTA